TCCTGCAATATTCTCACCCTCATCAGCTCAAAGTCTCACTCAGCTCAAACTCCCCAATTATAAGCAGCTCTCAAGCACCTGAAGCAGTTCTGTTTGAATTAGTAGAACAGAAGAAAACTGGCTCCAGGCTTCCATGCAGCAGCGCTGTCTTTGCACAGCTCTCATCCCTTCCTCCTCAGACTTCTCATTCCCATCCCAACCTGAGGGAGGACCGCCTACTCCAATGACAAGGGCTCTTTCTAAATGAAGGCACTAAGCTTTGAAAACATTATGCAAGTAATGACAGGAAGACGACTTGAGATTCCAGGGGACAGCTTGTAGCCTGAATGAAGTCATACGCGCACGAGTATCTTCTAAGCACAAGTTTTCAAGTCATGCCTCTGGGATCTTTGTTAACTGCCCCATGACAAGCAGTGTCAGTGTGTCTGTGGCATTCTGCAGCTGCCCACCAGGCCGACATCCTGCTAAGAGTACCTTGCAGACTTGCAAACAATTGTCTAGACTGCAGTGCTGACAGAGTGAGGTCATGGCTATCAAGCAGTACATTCCATGCAAGAGTGAAGTTTCCGTTTCTTGTTTTCTTTTTGGTGACACCAGCTCCTTGCCATCTATAAGGGCTTTTGTCTGTCCTGATATTCCAGACTGCTTACCTCATCCACCACTCAAGCATGCAAACCCTTTGAGTCTTCTGCTCTCCCGCAATACAGGAAGCAAGTGTTCAGAGAACAGAAGAGGGAAAGGAGAGATCTTTCAGTGCACCTACGAGGTCGTTTCTTGCACGGTGATGAACGTGGATAACTCTCAGGAAGGTTAATAGGAAGTTCAACCCTCCTCTGCAGCAGCACCATGCTAACAGAAGGCTGCCCCAATCCATCTGGTGTCTTGGAGACATCCCTTGTCAAAACACCCTTGATTCACCAAAAAAAGCAGACTCATAACAGCTGGAGAAAAAAAAAGAGCCAATCTAGGAGGGCAAAAATATACATGCTTTGAAAGAACTGAAATAACAGAAATGATCACAAAGAAGCAATAGGAAGGCACTGCTCTAAGATCTCTCATAGTTATGCTGCTGAAGATCCACAGTGACCCATCTCCTAACAGGAAAGACTGAAGATACTCTTCCAAAGTCACTGTCAGATAACCTTGAGCACTAAAATACATACTGGAGATGGAAAATGTGTTTCTATCTTATGACTGCAACCTTTGCCAGGTAACTTTATTACATTTTAGCAACTTCTAATAAACCAGTGCACCTAAGAATCAAGTATCTCTTTCCTGGTCAGTCTCAGATTAAATAATCTGCAAACAAACAAAGTGACATGAAAAAGAAAATCAAAACTTCATCACAGGAAAGCATCAAGAACAGGGCTGACAGATCTCTGGCACGGGCACTGTCATTGAAAAATGCTGTAAGCAAAGCAAGTGGTGTGAGAAACCCCAAAGCATTTTCCAACTCCATCAGTGATTGAACTCATTCACCCCTCCATCCCTCTGACTCACATCATTAAGGTCTGTTCCTCCATGCAGGAGGCATTGTTTGACGGGCCTGCGCTCCCATTATATTCTTAATGCCATCAAGATATGGAAATGAATTTTTATTTCCATAAGCATTAGATCACAAAGCCATGAAAATCTCCCTCTCCCTTTTCAACAACACCCACGTACTCTTCCATTTTGGCTAAGCACAGAACACCAAAGGCCAAGAGCCCCAAGGAACTACCAATGCGCGAGGCAGAGGCAACGCTCTATTGCTCAAATACAGGAGGTGTGCAACTCCTTATTGTCTGCCATGGCCAAGTACTTCTTGGAAACTTCTACCCAAAAATAAAAGTGGAGTATGGATCCTCTGACCTCTCAGTGTAGACTTGAACAGGAATGATCTAGTGACTGATGTTCCTCATTGCCTAAGAAAAAAAACCCTGTGCATAAGAAGCATACTTTATCATTTGAAAAGTCAACTAATGCTGCTATGTCCCCTTTCAGAGTCCAAAGAAGAACAAGGTGTTTCCTTGTTCAAGTCATATCTGTGGCATAATGGCTGAGCAATGGAGTTAAAAGAATGGGGGTGGAGAATGGCAATGAGGATGGATGTACATCATCATGCCCAAGAGACTGCTGTTCTGTTGGCTTAAGAATTTCAGCCTCTGTGCTCATCTATCAAGCTGAAAACTCTGTGTTTGTATTCAGCTCAACCCTTTTCTGATTTATTTCTTGCCTACTTCAGAGCTTTAACTGCAAGATCTAAATTCTACACTCAAAAAAGTTGCACATGTGACCATTTTAAATCTTCATGGAATACAACAGTGTCATCTCACGCAAAAATTGTGAAGATGCATCCTATCAGTGCTTAACAAAACCACCTTCTGAAAAGAAAAATAGACCACGAGTGGAAATCCAATCCAGTCTAATTACCAGAGGAGGTTTCATATGCTAACAGGCTCAACTAACTTATCTTTCAGAAGATTCTAATCTCAAAATAATGGTTGTATATCGCCGCCTACCTCCAAAACTCCGCCACTATGTCTGTGTGCGCAGGCGCTGGGATGTGTTTTCAAGATATTCCACACACCCAGGGTTAGAATCTGAACTTATGGCACTGCTTCTGTTCACCTCTGTGCAGCACTGTGCCTGGCCTCAGAATTTGGTGCCTTAATGGATGCTTTTCACCAAACTTTCTTTGGGTGTTGTCAATACACCGTCCGACAACCAGAATCTGATAATAAATTATTAATTATGATCAATAATTCAAGCTTTGAGTATAATTATACAACAGCTAACTGCATGCAAAAGCAAGAAAAAGGTAGAACATTAATTCTCCAAAGTCTTATTGAAAGATGATTTGTTGGCAACTCAATTTTCAGTTTGATTGCCCAATGCAATGCATAAGATCAAAGAGTAGTGTCAAATAGGGGGCTGCATTCTACATGGAGACTGCATGGGATACAGAAAGTCAGCCTGAATACAGAAGGCAGAAAAGGAGTGAAACCTCAGAGCAAAGGGAGTTAAACTACCACATCAAGGTAAAACTTTCATTCATGGCATCATGGAATCATTACGGTTGGAGAAGACCACTGAGATCATCTATTCCAACCATCAACCCATTATAAACGTCATTAACAATGTTGAAGAAAAAGTTAATCCTACTTGAGCACTGCTGGGAAGATGTGCCACCACCAACGGGCCAGAGAGGATCACAGCTTGCAGAGTGCTGTGTTTCACTCTCCAGATCGCTATGATTTAATTGAAAGCAGAATCTAATTTGAGTTCATCAAAAGCAAAAAGTAAAACACCTCGACGACAGGCATAGAAAACACAAAGAAAGCCACCTCAAAGTTACAAACAATGGCTAGCAACCACACAGCATCTCCTAATGCCATGAGATGAGTACAAAGCTGCCCAAGAATTATTCACTTGTTTAGCCTTTCAGCCTAAGATTCGTAGTGATTGTAGAGAGAGGACATGAAGATGAATCACAGTCTCTATCAGTTTTCAATAATTGCACCCTCAGCTCTTGAGCTCTTCTTGGCCCATGGCAGCAAGGGCTGACTACCACTGCTTAGCATCCAGTTGAGGATAAAGAACCCCGGGTTAGCTGTAGAAGTGGTAGCACTCCAACGCCACAGCTCAGCATAGCAACCACCCAGGCTAAATAACTAACAAGTGAATCATGGTGTCCTAACAGATAATGGAAATACACTTTCAGCAAGCTGCTTGGGTCCAAAAGTCGATCAACTTGTTTGTTCTGCCTCCACGAGTTGCTAAGTCTCAACATGATGTTTAAACACAAGCACGTACAAACATCAAAGTTCAATGCTGACTTTATGTTACGCCTCAAAGTTGTGCACCAGAAACTGCTCTGTGCCACACATGGAAAACTGGAGCACACAGGTGAGGAAGAGACAAAACACTAACCCAAACAACATGCACATTTTTCTTTAGCTGTCCTCATTCTGTACTTTTCTTCCTTACTCTGTGTTTACTCTCATTCATTCTCTCACATGGCACAGTATTTATGCAGCTGTCTAATTTCACGTGGTTCTTCCCTTCCCCTGCTATCCCCCTAAAGAGGAATAAACATGAAACCTTCAATCTCAAATCCTTGTTTGAGGGCTTCGTGCACCCGCAGGTGATGACAAGTCTTCAGCTTCTCTCCAAAACTTGGAGACAACCAATCTTTGGGCTGGAAAAATCCTTCACCTCCCCACTTCCCCCCACCCCCATCCATTACAACCATCCATCTACCAACAACTGATCACATCCCTCAGTGCCACATCTCCTTTCATATGGAGATGTGTTCACATTCCTTCAATACTACCAGGGATGGTGACCCCACACCTCCCTGGGCAGCTGTGCCAGTGCATCACCACTCTTTCTGAGAAGAAATTTTCCCTAATATCCAGCCTGATGCAACTTGAAGCCATCACCTCTGGTCCTATCACTGTTACCTAGGAGAGGAGGCCAGCCTCTGCCTCTTGGTCAGTCCTGGCTTTTTGCTTGTTTGTTTTTAACTATCCCTATCTGATTCACACCTGTACTTATGAAAACAGATTTCAAGGTACACAGCAGTTCCTGATGAGGGAAGGAGGGCAGCAGCTACATCTGCACCTCCAGGCTGCAGTGCAGACACAGCATTCTCCCAGTCCCTCTCCTTTCCTAAAGGAAACATGCAGACTAAAGGAGAGATGCACAGCTCATACTCAGTTGTGCTGCTCCTCCTTGCTGTGGAGGCACAGCCTTTGAGTAGCACTCATCTTACCTCAAACAGGGTCAGCAAAAGGCAGCACAGGAGTGGCTTCAGAAAGCACACGAGATGACTTGGCAAACAGAAAGCCACTGGGGTGAAGCAGAGCTCTTCCCACCCCAAGTCCCAAAGCAGGGCAGGCCCAGGTCATGGAGGTGAGTCCCCCTCCAGCTGCCCCTTCTCCCCTCCAGCCCCATGTTTCGGGCACAGCTCCGGGCCCCACACAGCAGCAGGTGCCCACTCCCACATCCCATCTCACCTTCCTGGCTCCTCGCCTGGCAAATTCCCGGGCCAGTTGGCGGCCGATGCCACGTCCCCCACCTGTCACCAGCACGGTGTCTCCAGACAGGTCCCGTAGTTTGGGTGGCAGCAGAGCACAAACGGCGGCTTTCAGCACCAGGTAAAGCATCTGCACGGGGAGCAGCAGCACAGCGCCCAGCCATTTCCAAACCATCCTCTTGTTCCGGGTGATGGGTGGCAAAACTCTCTTCCAACCCTTCACGAGACCCAGGGAACAGAGATGGAAAGCCAGCACCCTTCATGCACCCGCAGGTGGGTGACGAGTCTTCGGTCCCCCTCCAAAACTTGGGGGCAAGCAATTCTTGGGCTGGAAAAAAAATGGGGAAAAAAAAAATAATAATAATTCCTTCTCTTCCTTCCTAAAAAAAAGTGGGGTGGAAGGAAAGCAGTGCAGGAGAGCTCTGCCTCTCAGTCGGTGTCCTCCGGGGTCGTCACATGCAGGTAATGCTGATCCCGTGCCTTTAACTGGAAGACAGTTTTGTAGGAAAACAAAAAGTAAAATTAAAAGTAGCCATCCGTCCCTCCGTGCCAAAGGCCGACGTGCAAATCCCGTGTCCAAATGGAAGGGGTTTTTTTTTTTTTTTTTTTTAATACTTGGAAAAAATAAAATAAAGCAGCCTATGTCTCCAAATTGCTGCCTGCAGCGCCTTCCAGGCGGCTCATTTCTATTCTTAGACTCAGGAAATCGCTGAAATGAGACAGAATTGCCAGGACTTTCTATTTAAGAAAGGGTCTATTCAGGGGAAGGTTGTTTTTGTTTTCCTATCTATAAATATCTGCCGGCTCTCCGTCCCGAGCGGCTGCAGGGCTGGGCTGCCCCTCTGCCCCCTCTCCTGGTTCCTCACCCGGCGGATCTGCGATCACAGAGCAGGAATTACGCCGCGCACTCCTTCAGCCCTTACTCATTTCTCCCTATTGCTCTCTCTGCCTATCGCAGCCGCGGCGCTGGGGAGGTTTTATACCCCATTAAGCCTGATTGACAGTTAAAGTGTCGGGGAGATTTCACTACTGTTCCTGTGAGTGGCTGGCTGAGCTCTCCCCTCCCCCGGAGCCCGGTTCCCGTTCTCCGGCTGCCGCCCGCGGTTCGGGGCTGCACCGCACCGCAACCCGCACGGAAGGGAAGCCCTGGCTGCCATAGAGCCGCCTGCCCGGCTGGAACCGGCGTCGGTGGGAAAGCTGCTTGCAGCCCGAGATGGTTGGGCTGAACCCAAGTCGACATCTGTCAGCACCCAGCCGATGGTTTCACGGACAGCTCGTGGGTTTTCCATGCTGGGAGATGCTGGTGTTGCCCATCAGTGGCTGGACAGTGACAGAGGGAGATGCACTTTTTCGCATCGAGCAGTTTTTTGGAGAAGAGAAGGCTATGGGGAGACATTGCAGCCTTCCAGTGCTTGAAGGGAGCTTACCAACAGGAGGAAGAGTGACTTTTTGCGTGGTCTGATACGATAGGACAAGGGGGAACGGCTTCAAGCTGTAAGATTTAGGTTAGATGACAGGAAGAAAGTTTTGACTTTGAGGCCTTGGCACTGCTGCCCAGCGAGGTTGTGGGTGCCCCATCCTTGGAGACATTCAAGGTGGTGCTGGATGGGCAGCCTGAGCTGGTGGTTGGCAGCTCTGCCCATGGCAGGAGGTTGGATCTGGATGGTCTTTAAGGTGCCCTCCAACAGCCCTCCAAGTCACACTGTGATTCTGTGATGATTTCTCACTCCTTTTCCATGACTTTTGTCCAGACACAAGAGCACAGTTGCAACACAAGGTCTCTGTAGCACTTTATGTTGTAACAGGAGAAAGGGCAGAAATGTTGCAATTAGGTCCCTGAGTTGTTTGCACTGTTAAGCATGAGGTGGGTATGCTGCATACTGAGGAGGGTCTGAATGCACATTTCACACCATGGCTTTGGCTGGAGGGCACCTTAAAGACCATCCAGTTCCAACCTCTGCCATGAGCTGGTTGCCCCCCACCAGATCAGCCCATCCATGGCCTTGGGCACCTCCAGGGATGGGGCATCCATCACTTCTCCAGGCAGCAGTGCCAGAGCCTCTCCACCTCTGAACTCAGGGCTGCTCACCCCGCATTACCAATTGTGGCAGCACCATCATAATCTTTAATTTAAAGTTTACAGGATGCCAGAAGATCCTCAGCGATGTCAACTTTACACTGCTGGTTCAGTCGGGCTGGTTTTGATGAGTGTGCTGTTAATAAGAGCGTGCCAAAATGAAGCCAACCCCAGAGGTGAATTCTCAATCTATATCCACTATCCTGGGAAGCCATCTAGTGGTAAAAACTAGAATTACTGAAAAATCATGGAATGGTTGGAGTTGGAAGGGACCCCAAGGGCCATCAGGTCCAACCCTGCACTGAGCAGGGACACCCACAGCTCCACCAGTGCTCACAGCCCCATTCCCTGACCTTGGGTGCCTGCACCTCCTCTCTGGGCAACCTGTGCAGTGCCTCACCACCCTCACTGTAAAAAACTTCATATATCTCATCTAAACCTTCTTTCAGCTGGAAACCATTCCCCCTTGTTCTATCACAACAGACTCTACTAAAGGCTCTGTCTCCTTCTTCCTTATAGCCCTTCTTCAGACACTGAGAGGATCCAAATGACAAAACTGAAGGACGTTCTCAAGCTTAATTTCCCCTACTGTTTACTAAACAACCACTGCAATGGAACTGCACGAGTCTAAAAGCATCCACACACATTACATCCACATACATTACATTACACAGCCAACAGCAGTGAGCTAGGGAGCCAAATCCCTTTGAAAATAAATCTGATTTTATGCTTCATTATCAAGCACGTTCTTGAAACCACAGCTCAAAGCAGCCATTTGGTTCAAGGGTTATTTTGTGGCAAAAATAAGGACTGGATTTTTGATGCCTCCCACATTCAAACTTGTATCACGTATGGTTCTGTCAACACTGAATGTGAACAATATCCAAATCCCTTCAACCTCAGCACCGTTAAAACTTCCACAAAGGTTTCCAGAAAAAGTAAGATTAAGAGAGAAGCTTGCAGAGTTCTCACCTTTAAATGCCAGTTTTCCTTTCATGAAGTAAGTCAAACGATGGTCACAACCTTGTCATACGGGACCAGGAGAGGGGCTTCTAGGGAGAAGTTGAGCCATTGCAACTGCAGTCTGCAGAGCTTGTTCAAAACCAGGTATCCCCTAACATAGCAGCATCTGAAATAACCAGAGCTGTGAGAATTTCCATGGCTGCTTGGCAGCACTGAGCACTTCTGTGTGTTTTTACAGTTAGAAATGGAGCTGGGGGAGGCACCTGGCATTACAGCTTTCCTCTCAGTCCAGAAACTCTGAAGGGGAGAAAGAAATTACACAGAGAGCCCAGTGTCTGGCTTAAACAGGAATGACTCAGTGTCTGGACTGGTAACAAATATAACAACTTTTGGTATAGAAATAAAGAGCAGTGTTAAAAATGAAGGGATATGAAGTTCAAGCAAGGCTGGTTTTTTGATTCTTTGAAACATTCACAAGTCCTCTAATGCTGGTGGAACTAGTCCTGTGAGTATTTATCTGCTTCCCCATTAAACAATATTCTGAAATGTATTAAAAATGGCTGCTTGGTTTTTGTTTTTTTTTTTTTTTCCATTCATTATGGATGAATGTTGTGCAAACAGGCAGCTGGAGCCAAAAGACACAGCTACATACTTAAAATGAAGTATTTTTATTTTCCTAACATCACCTTCAGATTTCAGTGGATGTATGAACTCTTTCACTATTTTACTGCTTTGCTTTGCATTCACCTCGAAGCAGTTGCAACCAGAAGCTCACACACTGTGCAACAAGAGCAAGAAATAGAGGTAATACAGCAAAACTGGAGTTGGTGCTTCTTGTCTGCAATAAACCTGGTGAAATTCACGCAACTCATTTTGAAATTCACCTGATTGAAGTGAAAAATCAGATAGCTTTAAATGCTGCATGTACTGCGTTCTGCATGGACTGAGATTTGTCCTCTTGAATTGCAGTTGCATTCTGGAAAGTGGCAAAAGAGTATTCTGGGATTTCACCTCATTACTGCCTGGTAACCATGGCACGCTGTTTGGCATGAGATCTTTTTCAGACCATCTCCTCAACAAACCCAATGTGTGCCTCTGTTTAAAAAGCTCATCTCCTTTTAGTGAAACCCAAACCACGCTTTCATTTAGGTTTGGTCACTCTAATTGCTTTCAGTCAATGTCTTGGTACATACCTTGGTTGGTGAAAATGAGGGTCTGTCACATCACAGCAGTTGTTCCTGATGATCTCCTCCATGCTCCTACTCAGAAGTCCTTCCCCACTGCACTGCAGCTTTCCATAGGCAGGCCTGTTAACAGTGCAGAATTGCATCAATTGCTGACACCATTACTAAGTGCCAGAATGAACGCTGCATTTCAGATAGCTGCACAGCACTGAACCATTTGTTCCATGAGCATTCACTCCAACAATGTACAAACTGCAAAACCCCACAATCACTTGGGTTGAGCCATTTTCATGGCATTTTAAAAGAAGTTTGGTTCCATTTTGCACAAGAAGGCAGTGGTGCTGCACATCTCAGTGGTCACTCACTTTGTTTCTACTTCTGTTTGTCAGTGTTTGGGTTTGTGCTTCTGAACAGAAGCGTTGGGCTGTAATGCACTTTGATGAATCTACTGTGAATGATTAGGCTTAAATTTAGAATGACTCATTCCTGGGACCATGGCTCGAAAGATGCATTCATGGCAACCCAGCCCATGGCAGGGGTTGGAACTGGATGGGTTTGAAGGTCCAAACCACTAAACCACTCTATGATTTTATGTTTTCTGAATATTTAACCATGAGTGCCTAACTGCAACAGCACCAGCTTAAAGCTAAACCTGCAGGTCATACTTAGATAAGCTAGTTTAAAGGCAGGTTAGCAGCCTACAATAATTGAGACACTGCAATGTGTGCTAGCATGCTAGCAGAGAGTCATAGGAACATACTTTTCCTTACTTCCCTGTTCCTGAAGGAAAAAACAGCAGTGAAAAAGCAGCTTTTACCTGCACACTTCCATAAAGAAAGGTCCATTTTTTGCAGAACAGACTTTTCTGGTTCTATAAAGAGGCCCAGGGAAGCCTTAAATATGGAAATGTCTTAAACATAGAAAATCTGCAATACTAAAGTGTCCAGTAGTACCAATTCTTTACACCAATGCAGGTTCTTAACCATGGACAATCCATCACAGGCAGAGATTAAAACTAAGCCTCTTTTTAAAAATGAAACTCCTTGGCCAAGACGATCTGGTTTTTGTTATATGAAGTACTGCTGTCAGATTTGGATAAAGCAAGAGCTGTATTTTTGTGCTTCTTGATTTCATTCTTCCCTTGAGTTCACATTTTCCATTTGAAATGTGTCCCAGTGGTCCTATGATTTCACACTGTCCTTCTATATGCTATTAAGTATTAAAAGTCTGATATTGTTGCATTGTAAGTGGAGTTTTGCCATGGACTAAGCTCACAGGGACCAGGTTTCTGTTCAGCTTCCAGCCTTGACAGAAAGCAGTCTGTGTCCTGCCTTGTGTGAAAACCTACATGTGGAAATCTGCTTTCCCAGGGTCTAACAGCAAATCAGCTTTATGAATAGAGATACAGCAAACCCTCTACTGAGTGAGCACAAGTTCCAGATAGAGCAGAAGAACCGCAGACTCACTCGCTATGGTTGGAAAAGACCTCTAATCATCAAGTCCAACTGTCCACCTACCACGAGTACTGACCACAAAACCATGCCCCTAATAGAGCCATAGAATCATTAAGGTTGGAAAAGACTTCTAAGATCATCTAGATGATACGGCCTTTCTAAATCCAGTATGCGTAAAAACTTCATAAGAAGAACATTCAAAGTGCTTGTTGGTACTATCAGGAATTCAGAAAAAGGCATGCAACATCAAGGGTGTGCTATTTCTTTCAATTGCTTAATTGTGTTTTTGCATATTAGATTTTATAATTTGTAATAAATGCCTGTCTTTTTTCTCACCTTGGTTTAATTAGAAGCCAAAACCATCTCAGCCTATTAAGCTTGTGTCCTCATATTGAAAGAGAGAACAGGGAGAAACACCACATGTTGGCAGGAATCACAGAATCATCAAAGAATCATAGAATGGCTTAGGTTGGAGGGGATTCTAAAGATCATCCAGCTCCAAACTCCTGTCATGGGCTGGCTGACCCCTACAAGAGGCTGCCCCAATGTCCAGGAATGGAGTGGCTGTGCAGTGTTAAACTGATTAACTCATCTAACGTTTTGTTTTGTACATTTACCTCACCTTTACATCACTCAGAACTTGCCAGACCCTCTCATTAATCCCTCAGTCCTGACAAAACCTCTAACACACAAGAACTGGTGAAGAATTAAGCCCTTAAGGCAATTAAAATTAGAGAAGGAGTTTATTGTTTCAAGAGTCTGAAGTGAAATCTGACTAAACCAATGTGAAATGGATTTGGACAAAAACTGAACAGTAGGTTTATTCTTGAAAAATTTTGCACTGGAAGCTTGTAAACTAGCTAAGGGATAAGTTTGTACATGAAATCTTCTCTGAGCCCTTACGAACAATGCCTTCTTTAAACATTCTCATTAAAAGTGGTTATGATTTCTTTCCAAAGCCAGTGGTTCAGTAGAACATATGAAGAAGAAAATAATCATCAATGGAAAATGCTTTTGGTTGGAAGGGAGAATGGATCAGCTTTAGGAATATAGGGAAGTAAGATCAAGTTACAAATCAAATGATGGGAAAATAAGATCTCTAGAGAGATACAGCTGGGCTTAAGGCAAAAGGCACAGAGAGACGACACTGTGTTCGTTCAGACATTCAGAATCATAGAATCATAGAATGGCTTGGGTTGGAAGGGACCCCAAGGATCATCAAGTTCCAGCCCCACTGCTACAGGACCCCAACCTCCAGATCTGGTGTTAGACCAGGCTGCCCAGGGCTCCATCCAACCTGGCTTTGAACACCTCCAAAGACAGGGCATCCACAGCCTCTGTGGGCAGCTGTTCCAGCACCTCACCACTCTCTCTGATAAACTTCTCCCTGACATCTAATCTGAACCTTCCCTCCTTGAGCTTAACCCACTAAACTTTTCATAGAATCATAGAATGGCTTAGGTTGGAGGTCACCTTAAAGATCACCTACTTCCAATCCCCTGCCATGGGCAGGGCTGCCCACCACTAGATCAGTGACGATGATTTCTACAAGGATTAGCTGGATTCTTTAATAACTCATCTGAAAGTTTCGAGCACTGTACCCACTGTTAGCAGAAAGCCAATCTGCCCAGCCTTGCTGAATCACTGCCATTACCCCCTCAAATTGGTACCACTAACAGCAGTTTTGGAAGTGGACATGGGAACAAATGATACATAGGGTAAACAACCAAGGGCTTCCAAAGGCCAGCTAACCCTTATAGGGCCTTCTGCATTCTTATGAATGCCCATGTGCACCAATGCCAGATATCATAAGGATAGGATTAGCTGAATCTCTGGAGGAAGAAACATCAGTTATAACCATAGCATGCACTGATCCAGTTATTTGCTAGCAGCTGACCTGTAGAATAAACCAACAGAGATGCTTTTACAGAACAACCATCTCTGTCCTCCAATTAAACATTGTCCAACACCATTTGATAAAAAATAATTCCCCCAAAGCAACCAGTCCCAAAATCCCTGAATAACTCTTTGTACGATGCCCACTACTCCTCCAGTCTCTCTAATGGTTGGCTGCTGCACTGAAAGTCCTGGTTCAGAACTTAGAAGCTATTAATTTTAGTACAGATTAGTTACATTCATTACATATTACCCAGAAATTAATTTTTGCTTTACTTTATGGCTTTATGTGTCTGTTTAAATCATTAAAACTGACATATCTCCACAAGTCTGGATGACTAAGTGGGTGGAGGGGCTAAGTCAAGTGTGCTACACCTCACAGTGATGGAAGGGATCAACGAATCCTCAGCTTAGTCAAGTAACTTGGGTTAGTTTTGGAAGGATGCGCACTGTGATCACGTTCCAGGCCTGCTGAGTTAAGCTGAGAATTCTGTTATGACTTTCTTATATGGATTTCTTATGCTTAACACCTTTATTTTATTTTATGTTGAGGATTTTGAACCTCATAGTTTGAATAGCTGTGCTTGTTGCATTCCACTAGGGTTAAATTTGACCTATTCACATAAGAATCCAGTCTAGTCACCCTTATCATCCAGTAGTTTCTCTCTTATGACTCAATTTGTTTACCCTCAGTCCACATAGCTGAAGATTTCTTCAACCTATTGACTTACTCACATAAAGATTTATCCCTACTTCCTTTAAGTAGAGACACAAATTGTGTAAACGAGTTTTTTCTAGGTAGCTGTATTTCATCTTCTTTTATAGGCATAAGAACAGCTAGAAATGACTGACTTTTTTAGTCAAGAACCCATACTCTGAGGGAATATCACCATAGAAGTTTCTGTGCCCCAGAGGCCTCCAAGAGCTCCTCTAGGGAACCCTAGTACTGCTAGAGCTTCTAGCTCTCCTAGAGCTCTCCTCAGTGTTTTCTAGGATGTCCTGGAGCCTTCCTTGTGTGCCTAGAAGCCCCCCAGAGTACTTGAGAGCACCCTACAAGACTCCTGGAGCAATCCAGTGTGCTCTAGGATGTAATAGAGGTTCCCCAGTATGCTCTAGAGGTCTCCAAGGACAGCCCCGTGTACTCAAGAGCACCCTAAAGTACTCCCAGAGCTTTGTGGTGTGCTGTACGATGCCTCATAATGGCAGTGAGCGAACAAATAAAGAAACAGATGATTCAGACCCATAAATCAGAATACAACTAAACCAGATGAAAACTGAAGTCCATTTGCAATTTGGGAATACGCAGAGTAGTGACGTATCTTGATGTACTGCAGGCATTACTTTGGCCATGCTAAATAAAGCTGTAATAGCTGGCACTGCAGGATGTTTGCACGTTGCTAGCATCCGGCGGCCTGATCTGTAGGTGGAGGGTGGAGGAAGTTTGATATGCAAATGACTTCTCTGTTGGGTCAATCTGGAGGATATAAATATTGACAGAATTGTATCAAACAGTTCACTACAAAATCACCCTCTCCAAAGAAAAATGGAATTATTTTACGGTCTGACATTAATAGCAGGAATTCTACTTGCTTTTTTATTATTGATTTTAATTGAAGCCTCTTATCATTCCTTCAAGGCAAAAATTCCTCCTGAAGTTGACCAGCCATCAAAGCTCAGCTTCTATAATTGGCTTTTTACTATGGTTGAAATTCTGGTGAGTTTATCGTGCTCTGCGATATTGTGATTTTCAGGAAAGGGAAAACGTGAGTAGAACTATGAACATAACATTTAAATATTGCAGCTGTGTGTAATGGGAATCGTATGGTGACGCAAGTTTGGTATTTTAATACTGTCCATAAAAGCTGCCTACATGAGGTGACATCTTTTAAATGCTGAGATTTGTATATTTACACTGCAATTGTAACTTGATTGCCTTTTGTGATGAAATGATCGGTCCAGTGAAAAACAGAAGGGCTGAAGACCTGATAAATGAACCTTCTGTATCCCAGGGCACTCTGGTCTATTTGAGGTAACTTCCTAAATTTTTATCTATCTATAGTAATTGTTGTACTCATGATTCTGTTGTTATTTCTGCAGTGACTAAACTACTGTGTCTTAATGAGTTAATACAGAATCATGTATACTGGAGGTAATCTAATCATAGGATCATAGAATCCCTAGAGTTGGAAGAGACCCTAAAGGCCATCTGGTCCAACTCCCTGCTATGAGCAGGGACACCCACAGCTCCATCAGATGCTCAGAGCCCCATTCCGTGTCCTTGGGTGTCTGCAAGGATGGAGCACCACTACCTCTCTGGGCAACCTGTGCCAGTGCCTCACTGTAAAAGACTTTTTCCTTAAATCCAACCTAAATCTCCCTTCTTTAGTTGGAAACCATTTCCTTTCAACACAGACACTGCTGAAGAGTCTGTCCCCTCGTTTCTTACTGTCCCTTTAGATACCAGTAGGCAGCTCTCAGCTCTCTGCAGAGCCTTCCCATCTCCAGGCTGCACAGCCCCCAGCTCTCAGCCTGTCCTTGTAGGAGAGGTGTTCCATACCTGAATCATTTTTGCGGCCCTAATCTAACCTCCTGATCAAAGAAAGTTCAGTCACAAGAGCTGTTACTACTTCTTATTTATTTACTTGTAAACTAGACTGTGCTATATGTGCTGCCAGCAGAGTAAGAAACAGCTCTTGCCCAAGACATTTTCAAAAAATACAAGACAAGATCAGACTAAGCCTTATCACGTTTGGCAGATATCATTATGCCTGGACTTGATTTATGGTCAGACATGGTGATCTTACAGGTCTCTTCCAACCTAAAATCTTCCAACCTTCCATGATTCTGTATCAAATGGAAGTCTGTAGGAAAAAGAGTGATTTCATGATTTCATTAGTGTTTGTAAGGGGTTCATCTCAAGCAGCAGTGTTCTGTCATTCTCAAATTATATGTAATGTTCAGTAATCCTGAAAAGTCACTTTGGGTGATACAAAGACTTACATGGGTTGCTTAAACCTACATGCTTTCACCAAACCAGGTCTCTCATCCTCCAATGGCTTATGCCATGTGTACCTATCTACACTGCCTGGTGTGAAGGAAGAGTTGCTGTCCTTACATATTTCCGACTGCTCCTCATGTTAAGCTATATATTAACATAATACAATTAAATGACTGAATGTTATTAGGTCCTCTATGTTTCCGTACTTGGTTTGATGAAAGGATTCTTTCAGATGACTCTCTTTTCTGAAGCTGCTTCTACAAGCTGGTTTCAGCTGGGACAGGGTTGATTTTCTTCACAGTGTCTGGTATGATGCTATGCTTTGGCTTTAGAAGAACAATGTTGACAGCACGTCAGTGTTTTAGCTGTTGCTGAGCAGTGCTGCACAGAGCCAAGGATGTTTCAGTTTTTCAGCTTCTCATACTGTCCTGCCAGTGAGGCAGCTGGGGGTCCCAGGGAGCTGGGAGGGGACAGAACCAGAGAAGCTGCCCCAAATTGGCCAAAGGGGTTTTCCATACCCTATGATGTAGTGAGAAAAGCTATAAAACTGAAGGGAGCTGACCTGGGGGGCAGCTGTTGTTTGGGTTCTGTCTGGGCATCGGTCAACGTGTGGTGAGGAACTGCTTTGTGCATCCCTTGTCCCACTCCTGCTGTCCTTTGAAGGCCACTAACTCTGACCCATTTGGCAGGCAGTCGTGCCAATGTGTGAGTTGCTTCACTATGCAACAACCGGGTTATAATGTAAAGCTTAACTTTGCTCCACATTGGGAAAGAAACTCACTAATCTGTATGATGAAAGCTTATTCAAAGTTTACACTGTTATTCTCAATTATTCCTCAAACCAACCATTTCGATACATTTTACTCTCCCACTTTCTAGAGAAAAGTGGGGAAAAAAAGGTTTCCATTTGCACCAGATAAAGTTTAGATCAGATAGCAGGAAGAACTGCATCACAGAACGGGTGGTTGGGCATTGGAACGGGCTGCCCAGGGAGGTGCTGGGGTCCCTGGAGGTAATGAGGAGCAGTGTGGATGTGGCACTAATACACACGGGTTAGTGATTGACCTGGTGTGGTTTCTTACAAAGCACACAGTGCTTTGTGCATTGTGCATGTGCAGTGAGAATATCCTGCTAATTCTGATGAATGTTGCTGTTGTTGTGCCACTGTCATCTCCTCCTGTGCTCCCTGCCATGTATGTTGCAAGGAAGGCCTCTTTTTTATTGTAGCATAGCACAGTCTTCTGCCTTTTTGTTGAACTTATTTGAGGCACCCCTTAGATGGATCAGCAGTTAAGCACCTACTGGAACAGAGGTGTCAGACATATGATGCTCCAGCTGCTCCTGTGTACGTGCTTTCTTGAAGAAACTAATGAAAATCTCAAAGAGAAAAGATGGGAGAAAGCCTACCAGCTCACAACATAGCTTCTGTGTTAATCCATTCCTACAGATCTGCATTCAGATCTGTGCATATCACACTGTGATATAAAGTTCTGATAATTATTTTGGTTGGCAAAGCATAATGCTTCAAGATGAGTAAGAGAGAGTGACTGTCAAAAGGACCCTCCAAGTCCATGATGGACAAACTGAGTGTTCTTTCCTACTTCATATGTGATTTCTTACTTAGTTGAAAAGTAAAAATCTGGTCATCGTGTGATGTTCAATGTACAGAGAAGCCTGTGCCAGAATCCAGGCATTTGAGCAAACAGTTTTTCAAATTACTGCATGCTGGTTTGGGTTCTCCTTTTCTTATACAAACACACATTTTAGAACCTGGCTTACATGATATGTTCACCTACTAATACAATCATAGATATCTAGAAATAGCCATACCTCCTCTATTTTGAGTGGACTGCTACTGCTTCTGAAGTATTTTGTAATTATTGATCAAGAAAAAGTTTTTCAGTGCAAAATTGAATAGCATACCAAATTCTCCATTCTTCTTTATGGCAGTTCTTTTCCTTAAAATTGAAGATGTGTCTGTGATGCCAGGAACTCCTAGGATAAGGAAAAGAAAGAGGATATTTACACAGAATGTTCTGATACCACGTTTATCATATATATTGTTAATACTTGCCACTTGAAGGCTCTGCTAAAAAAAACACAGGGATGTTAGAAAGTGCAGGTGAGATCAAATAAACACAGAGCAGCAATGTGTTAACTTCAACATCCCAACATTGTCACTTCAACAAAAAACAAAGAAAAAGCAGAAGTCAGAAACATTAGGTTACAAAAGCACAGTAGCCATTAGTTGATGAGGCATTGATACAGTACATACATGCATAATTCTGCTGCTCAGAACAGAACAACACGATTTGCAAATTGCTTGTTATGATTACCATCATTCCGTTTGTAATTAAGTCATCATTTAATAGGAAAAGAAGTATTGTCCTTGGCAGGAAATGCATCACTTAGAAACCATTCTCAAAATAAAGGGGGATTCCAGTGTGATCCTCAGGTTATCTATCTCAATTATCAGTAATTGAATGCCTTTGGATAAGAAGACATTTTACTTAACAAACATACTTTGTTTTCCCTGCTGGATTTAAGAAACTGAAGAAGCCATTTCCTGAATCCCTGTGGGATCTCGATAAAGGTTTCACAGATGGAGGAGATAAGGCTCAGAACCATTCTCACCAAGGTCTTTGGAGCAGCATTTCATTACTGATTACAAGCATCACTGACTTTCTAAAACCTTGTTGTCATTGATCCTGTGGCTGGAGGTGATCAAAGACCACTCAGTTACTGTCATGGCTGGGACATTTTTATCTCACCTTACCTTCAGTCCTTCAGCTGAGCCATCTGGAGTGGACAGTTTCCCTTTATAATCAATGGTGATGAGCAGCCATTTCCAGAGCACAGCTTATATGCCTGAAGTTGGAACTGTCCTCTAGAGATGTCTCTTTCTCTTCACAGACAAGAAAAGGAGGCTTAGACCTCATGACACCTACACTGCATACCTACACAAATTGCTGACGTGTGGTAAAACTAGATTACAGAAATAAGAAGGGATTTAAAGGGGACATTCAGGGGAAGGAGTATTGCAGCATTCTTCTGAAAACAGCATAAACCACAAAGATGTACATTTCCATTTCACAACTGAAATCACCGAGCTTTTTTAATGAAAATCCTGTACAGTAGCAAACACCCAATGCAATTCTCCTAAATATAACACAGACAAAGGCCGCTTCTGGCCTTCTGTGGTCCCAACAGAGTGGAAGGGCTTGGATTTTCTATTCTAATTTCTTATTTTTTCTGTTATATCCAGGCAAATAAATCGGCGAGTTTGGGTATCTGCAAGAAGCACGTACTTATCAGGATGTTTTCTAACGGACTGAGGGCATGGAGGGCTTCAGAGCTCCTCATAAAGGATCTGCACTTTGGTGAGGTGCCAGTGAGGATCTACCTCCCAAGATCACCATCTGCCAGCAAACGGAGAGGAGTCGTCTTGTTCCATGGAGGATGTGGGATGTACGGAAGCATAAGTAAGGAACTGAAAGAGAAAATGTGATTTTTATCATTATTTTTTACACACGCTCATTAATGATATATTTTTAAAATTATTTTGAACCTAAGAAGTGACAGAGGCTTAGCTTGGGCAACCGAGAGACATAACATGATGCTTGGTTTTACTTTTTCAGTTCTTTAATCTGCCCTTGTTGAATATCTAAATTATTCTTGGTAGGATAGAGCCCTATTTATGGCATTTATATCCCCTACAACAAGTGGTGCTGCTAAATGAATGCATCTGTTTTGGTCTGAAAACGTGACAGAAGTTATTAACTCCTGCATTCCTCCATTGGATCCCTTCCCCAGTGGCATACAGCACCTGTGTGCCCCAGGTCCTTTAATTAGCTTGACTTCTTTCAGTTTAGTTGATTAGAGAAAGCAGACAATTGCAAACTTAATCAAAGAAGCTCCAAAAGATACAAACACATGTTAAAAGGTGTTAAGATTCTGAAATTTAAGGTGGAATGTATTATTGAGCAAATGGCAACAAGCCAAGTCTTTTAAATGTAATAAAAACTGAACTAAAGTAGAAGAAACGTAATAATAATAAATAATAATAAAGCGTATCTTTAAATACATTGTAAGAGGCATAAATCCTGCCCACTAACTTACAGTGGAATGGTTTTATAACTCGTTAATGAGATTGTCATGTGGTCATCTCTGCACACCTCAACTGAGGGGTTACGCCACCAAGAAAGAAGGGAGGATATTGCTGCAAGTACTCAAAGACATTAACTGCATTCATGTTTGTTCTTCAGAAAGCCATGAAAGAATATGCCAGCACATAGCCAAAAAGTCTGATTCCGTGGTGGTGTCAGTTGGGTAAGTTGAGCTTGAAAAAACTGAGCTCTAGGAAAGTCTGTCCTTACACAGACATGTGCAAGCCAGCATGTGCATGACAACAAATACTGACTTGGGTTTATCAATAACAAAAGCAATTATTAGGATGTTTAACTTTTTAATCCATAGATTTAATTAAGTAGAAAGTAGAAACAGTGCACTTCAGCCAACAGAGGAGGGTTAACAGGCATAGCTTGGAGAAGAGAAGGCTCTGGGAAGACCTCGTAATGGCCTTCCAATACTTGAAGGGAGCATATAAACAGGAGGGAACAGCTGTTTATGAGGGTGGATGGTGACAGGACAAGGGGGAATGGTCTTAATCTGAGACAGGGCAGGTTTAGGTTGGATATTAGGAGGAAGTTTTTCACCCAGAGGGTGGTGAGGCACTGGCACAGGCTGCCCAAGGAGGCTGTGGATGCCCCATCCCTGCAGGCATTCCAGGCCAGGCTGGATGTGGCTCTGGGCAGCCTGGGCTGCTGGGTGGTGACCTGCACACAGCAGGGGGTTGGAACTGGATGAGCATTGTGCTCCTTTGCAACCCAGGCCATTCTGTGATTCTATGAACAGAGAAAGCCTGCATTGCTGCCTCAGTTGCATTTCTCTTTTTTTACTCAACTAATATTCTCCAGAAAGATCACAAATGCAAAGAATGAAGAGCCATGGCCATGGAGGTGCATCTTGTTCTCATTCACTTTGACCTGACTTTCTTTCATCTAAGAAAGTACATTATTGGTTAAGAACTAAACAAAGAGAGCCTTATGTTGTCATCACTCCCCTGTAATCCATTTGTCCCAGTTAACAAAATAAATGAAATAATTGTCTGCAGGAAGCTATTTCATCACCACTGTACATTTACTGTATGGTGTTTTATAACACAGTGTCATTAAATTACTGTTATTATATTAAAGTGTAATAATAACACACAAAACCTCACTTATATATAATAATAAAATACCAACAATGTGATGATATAAAATATAATAGTGAAGGTAATGATCAGTGTCCTCAGGATCCAAGAATCAGCTGGACCTTTGGGTATGCAGGATGTACATCCACAGTACCCACAGTCAGTGCAAAGGAGAGAACCGATGTCATTTAGCTGGACTTGAGCAAAGCCTCTGACATGGTCCCCCACCACATCCTTATCTCCAAATTGCAGGGGTGTGGATGTGATGGATGAACCACTCGACGGATAAGAAACTGGTTGAAAGGCTGCAGACAGAGGGTGGTCATTAATGGCTCTGTGTCCAGGTGGAGGCCGGTAACGAGCGGCGTCCCCCAGGGCTCTGTCTTGGGACCGGTGCTTTAACATCTTTATCAATGACAGTGATAACGGAGTCGAGTGCACCCTCAGCAATTTGCTGACGACACCAAGCTGAGCGGTGCGGTCAACACGGTAGAAGGAAGGGATGTCATTCAGAGGGACCTCGAGAGGCTGGAAAGGTGGGCCCGGGTGAACCTGATGAGGTTCAACACGGCAAAGTGCAGAGTTTTGCACCTGGGCAGGAGGAATCCCAGGCATCCATACAGACTGGAAGGAGAGCAGCCCTGTGGAGAGGAACCTGGGGGTCCTGATGGATGAAAAACTGAACATGAGCCAGCAGAGTGCATTGCAGCTCGGAAAAGCAAATGGTATGAAGAGGGTTGGCCAGCAGGGACAGGGAGGAGATTTTCCCCCTCTACTCCACTCTTGTGAGGCCCCATCTGCAGCACTGCGTCCAAGTGTGGAGCCCCAGTACAAAAAAGACAGAGAGCTATTGGAGAGGGTCCAGAGGAGCCACAAAGACGATCAGGGGGCTGCAGCACCTCCCCTATGAAGACAGGCTGAGGGAGCTGGGCTTCTTCAGCTTGGAGAAAAGAAGGCTGCAGGGTGACCTCATTGCAGCCTTCAGTGCCTAAAGGGAGCCTGCAAACAGGAGGGGAGTCAACTCATGGAAAGGGGAGATAACAGCAGGACAAGGGGAAATGTTTTTAAGCTGAGGGAGGGAAGATTGAGGTTGGATGTCAGGGGGAAGTTCTTTCCTATGAGAGTGGTGAGGTGCTGGAACAGCTGCCCAGAGAGGCTGTGGATGCCCCATCCATCCCTGGAGGTGTTCAAGGCCAGGTTGGATGGGGCCCTGGGCAGCCTGGGCTGGTATGAAATGTGGAGGTTGGTGGCCCTGCATGTGGCAGGGCGCTGTAGATTCGTGATCCTTGAGGTCCTTTCCAACCCTGGCCATTTTGTGATTCTGTGATTCTGTGAACTGCAGACAGCACTGCTGGCACAAACTTTGATCACAAGCACAAACACAGAGGCCACAAATTGAGTAAATGTGTGGGTTTGTAAAACGTGGGTGGTGGAACTACACTATATAAGCATCTGTGCTCTTAAATTATGCCAGAATAAAGCAATTGACAGGCACACAAGTATGTAGAAAGTGCTGTCTTTTATACCTTCCAGGTACCGCTTGGCTCCTGAGCACAGTTTCCCAACCCAAAGCTTGGACTGTGTCACTGCCACCATCCACTTTTTGAAGACTGCCAAGAACTACGGCGTGGATCCCGATCGGATCATTGTATGTGGGGACAGCGCAGGGGGCACTTTTGCAACAACTGCTTGCCAAGAACTTGTGAACAGAACAGACATCCCGAAGATACGTGCCCAGATCTTGATCTATCCATTCCTCCAAAGCTTGAACTTCAACCTGCCTTCTCATCAGAAGAGTGCTTCCATTGGCTTGCTGTCCCTGGAACGGATGGTCTGTTTCATTCTGATGTACCTGAGAAAGGATTGCTCTTTGATGGAAGCTGTCTTGGCAGGTTCTCACGTTCCTGAGAGCATGAATTTGAAATATGGGAAATGGATAGATCCAGATCTTATCCCAGAGAAATTTAAACAGGACTACAAGCCACCATTACCTGCCTCATACATACCCCAGGTCCATGAGGAAACGAAAGAAATGTTTGAGACAAGGTTTTCACCACTCTTAGCAGAAGATGCTGTTGTTGGCTGCCTACCTGACACCTGTATTATCACCTGTGAGCACGATGTGCTCAGGGATGATGGGCTGCTGTACAAGAAGCGGCTGGAAGACAACAATATCAAGGTGACCTGGCACCACATTGAAGATGGCTTCCATGGTGTGCTGTGCTTTTTGGGTTATGGCATTTTCTCTTTTCCCTCAGCAAGTAAGATAATGGATCACATTGTAAACTTTATAAAAGGCTGTTAAAAATGTCTCCTTCAATACACTGAACTACTATGCAGAGCGAGTGCGTTTCAGTTAATCACTCAGTATCAAGAAGTAATAACTTACGATAGTGCAATCTGCTGACTTCTAGCTTTCAGTTGCTCCTCTTGGAAGCACGATGTGGTTTCCTTTCTGTTTTTATCCATTAACTAACATTTTATCCTTGTTTTGCTTCTCTTTTTCTGTTTTAAGAATTTGTGTTCTCTTCTTTTGTCAAAGAACAAAAGCTCATGATTTATAAAGAAAAACACACTTTAAACCCTGGAATACATAAATGACCATAAATGTATCATACACACAAAAGCAGTATGAGAATACAGATAAAATGAAAGCCTGAAAGCCTCTGGAGGGTAAAGACTTGCTCACAGTCCCTGAAACAAGCAGCGATTACCACTGATTTATAGGCATATTCAGCCCATGGGTTTGGACTTGGCTGTAAAACCTGATGGAGGATTGGAGTGTACTTGCAGATCTTAGCTTACAGCACAGTGGGTGGCACAGAAGGGAGTAACAGAAGTCAAAGCTGTTGGAGCTTTCCGTGTGAGTATCTGAGAGTGGTGATGTGGAAGGGTTTTCTGGCCTTTCAGGGCTCCTTCCAACACAAACAATGCTAGAGCTCAATGATTCCAAGTGGAACCTGACAAACATCACTGAATGTCCTCTAAGCTGTAATCTGTGAAGCTCCTTTCTGAGGGGCATTTGCTTCTATTCAGGGAGACAGATATAGCATTTTTCTTAACTAATAATGCAGTTATTAGATGAGACCTTGAGGGTAAATTCAGAAACAGCACTAAAACGGCAAGAATACCTTCTGCTAATGCCCAAAGCAAAGGAAAAATAATAACCATAGAATCCTTTGAATTGCAACATGAGCACAGATTTGTTTTTTAGGACAGATCCACATTTATAAACGCAGATGCCTGGCTGAGTGCCAGAGCATGTCAAAAGAGCTGGTCATGCAATGCCTAAGAATTGTAAAACATTTCATCATTCTTATGCAATCACTTTGCTCTTGTAATAGCCATGCAGATAAAAGTGTGGAAAGAAGGCAGGGAGTTATCTTTCTTTTCCATCAGCTGAACTGTGAGTAGGAAGAAAATGCTGGGTTAAATTCTTCACACTGTCACTATATTAATTAAATGTGGTGACACAGTAGCACTTAGAAACCTCTGGAGCAACCAGTAGTTACTTGTGAATTCTTGTGTTCTCTGCAAAACGAAATGGTGTTTCTTTGTGCTCTATGGACACAATAGGAATTTGGTTCCATTTTTCCTGTTGCTGGTGTTAGTAATTTACTCTTCAAACAACGAAATTCTCCCAGGAGTAAACAATGTGATGAAGCTTACAAAGTTGTGCTGATTGAGGATTACAGGATTTGTTTTGATAATAGGACTTAGTGTGAAGTTGGCAAGTCATTTTGGTTTCTGACCTGACTATGAAGGCTGGCTCACCAGTTGGTGTGTGGTAGAAGCTGAGCCAGAAGTGCACCAGGATTTGCTACAAAAGCAGTGCAAAATGCTGGCTTGCATGGAGCAGTTAATCCATGGCAATGTCTGCTCTGCCACAGCAGTATTGCTACCTGCACAAGAACACTCACAGTTATCTTAGGTATGTCTGTATGAACTTCAGTCAAACCTGGCAGTCATCGGCTTATCTTTATTCAGGATCAATTTATTACAAACGTGGCATCTTCACAACTGTCCTTTCATTGATTCCCAAATGTGGTTTCTAAAGTTTCTGGAATGGAAGTCCTTCCTCCTGTCTGAAGCAAGAGAATTTGGTAACCAAAGTGACCTGAAGCACAAGTTCAAAGGCCTCAACAACACTGCATGTGACACATTGCTCACTGGTGCCCAGCCTCTCTAAACAGCTGCCTTTGCATCTGAGCATTACGGGCACTCGTTTCTGTCATCCTGCACACAGCACAAAGCTAAGAAACAAGCACACACACAAAGATTCAAGAAATCAATAGAAGAGCCTCCAAATATAACTTTCTGTGTATGTTTCTCAACTCTCCCCAAGCCCCCAGAAGACCGCTGAGTCCACTCAGGCTGTGGCCAGCTCTTGTAAGGTTACCTTACCTCATTCTCCTAAGTAAACTTGATGATAGGTTTCCCCATCTGATTACCTCACTTAAAATAATAGTTTTCCTTCACAAAATCTTCTGCACATTTTTTGTCTTAAGTTTTCCACTTGGTTTTTCTCCACTTTTTGATCAGCGTGCTGATGGGACCAAATGTGGCAGAGTGGATAGAGGAGAATGTTCTGTATTTCTTGGTAAGCAAATAGCACCAATAAAGCTTTTGAACAACGGTGTTGACTAACAAGTGCAGCCTTGTAATGTTGGCTTGTAATGTTCTTAATCCTTTTCACCATTCTACTATTTTGAAATGACCACATGACTGATAATTAACTTTTGCAATGTTTTGCTTTGTTTTTTGGTTGTTGTTGGTTTGTTTGTTTGTTATTTTTTTTTTTTGCCATGTTAAATATCACATCAGCATCTTTGTGGTCCTTAGAAAAGCCTCTCGAATATGCCAATATGCAATGCTCTAAAATGTTTTCTCTGCTGCTTCCCCACCTCCCAGGCAATGATTGCACTGAGCAAAGACTTCTGTGAGCTGTCACAACCCTCTACTCAAACAATGTGTTCCTTGTTAGAGAGCCTCTTACCCCATCCCACATTGTTGTTCAGCAGAGTCCTCTTCATTTTGAAATCCACTCCTCTGCTTGGTCACCAAGGCTGTTTTGTTACCCTTTGAACACTTTGCACATTCTACAAAGAGCTGAAGATGTCCCTACAATTCTACCTTGTGCATTACACGTTATGAGATGACCACCTCATCCAATGCAGTGTGTTATGCTTCAGGTCAGTTCAGCAGTCCACACATATTTTCACTGTTCACCATCTGGACCATTATCATTTATGGACCACTGTTCAAACTCTGCACTGGTCCACTATTGAGATTTTTCCATAGTCTTTACCTGCAGGTCTTGATTTAATATAAATATTAATTGGTTTATAATGCCTGCATATTATTAGCCATATTGAACACATGCATTCTAATCTGTATTGGGAATTACAGTCATAGTGGTGCAGACAGGTAACTGGAGAAGAGCAAGTACAGAAACAATGTACTTTTTCAGTACATTTTTCTTTTTCAGTAGTGACTCCAATATTCTCTAAAATCTAGAAAGCAGAACGATCTCATTGCGTCCAGGGAACTTCCTGTCCTCTAATTTGATTAATTATAGATCTACCTTACATTCTTAAGCTAGATTGCTTGTTCATACAAATACCTGATCTGTTCACATGAGCTCACTCATATAAATCACATATGATAATTTCCACAGCTTTGGAAATTTTAATTCGTTTAAATATTTTTTTTTATTTTCTAGAGAAAGGCACAGCAAAATTGTTCCTATCCTCTTTATTCAGATACTTTCTGACAGCATGCCCCTTCCACAGTCCACATCTTCAAGAACTTAAACACAAGTGCAAACTTGCAATGTGCCTACAGTTATGCACACGAATGCCTTTGCAGGCATGGAGTCATGGCAAGAAGTCATGCATGCAAAGAAATACTGATGGATACAAGTAGGCACACACAAATCTGAGCTTGTCAGCACCTCGTATCCAAGCTTACAGCCAACGGCAGTAGGCGCTGCTGAGTTTCACTTGGCTCGTTCAGCTTTCCAATTCAGCTTTCCAGCACCAGATGGCCCTCATGCTCCACAGACCTCAAGGAGCACCTTCAGCAAGAGCCCTTTCCCAGCAGAGGCATCGCCTCCCACCTGGTGTGTCATGGAATCACAGAACCATTAAGGCTGGAAAGACCACTAAGGTCATCAAGTCCAACCATCTACCCATGCCTGTGACTGCTCTAGACCACGTCCTTCAGCACCTCCACAGACAGTGACTCCACCACCTTCCCTGGCCAGCAACAAAGGCCACAGAGATCACCAAATCCAACCATTAACTCATCCCCACCATGCCCTCTAACCTTTTACCTGGTGGAAAGCACCCCAGTTGTGGTGGTGTTCTTCTGTTCTTCTGGTTTTTCCTCCATGCTTCTTATCAGTGCTTATCAGTGCTTCAAGCATTAAGTATTACTCTGTGTACCTCTGTGTACCCAAGAAAAACCATTTCCTAACTGCCCTATGTACCTAACCAGTTTGTTTCCTTTCCTGCTGCTATCCAGACTTCAGCACAGAGCTTTCACGTGGAAGCTCTAACAGTGATGTTGGGTTGTTGGCGGGCTGCTGTGATGTGCAGACCCAGTTAACACATCCAAAAGAGTCACAGAAATCACAGAAATCACAGAATCACCAAGGCTGGAAAAGACCTACAGGATCATCCACCCCAACCATCCACCCATCACCAATAGTTCTCACTAAACCGTGTCCCTCAACACAGAATCCAAACGTTCCTTCAGCACCTCCAGGCTCAGTGACTCCATCACCTCCCTGTGCAGCCCATTCCAGTGCCTGACCACTCTTTCAGACAAGTAGTATTTCATAACATCCAGCCTAAATCTCCCCTGGTGCAGCTTGAAGCCATTCCCTCTGGTTCTATCACTGTTACACAAGAGAAGAGGCTGACCCCCAGCTCCCCACAACCTCCCTTCAGGTGGTTATAGAGAGCAATAAGGTCTCTCCTGAGCCTCCTCTTCTCCAAACTGAACAATCCCAGCTCCTTCAGTTGCTGCTCATCAGCCCTGTGCTCCAGACCCCTCACCAGCTCTGTTGCCCTTCTTTCAACCCGCTCCAGAGCCTCAATGTCTTTCTTGCAGTGAGGGGTCCAAGACTTACAGCTCTTGGTAAAGTGACTTCCATAAGGACAGGCACCAAAGCAGGTTGAAACCAGCTGAACAGTGGTGGTAAGAACCTCAGAACAATGGTTCTGTCACAGGTGCTGCCACAGGGGCCACATCTGATGGGCACGGTTAGGCCACACCTGTCATTGGGACAGCACGACTTCAGCAAAGCTGATTAATTGCTTTCACTATTAAAAAC